CTGACAACATGTACAAAAAACCTTGCACTCCATCTTGAAATGACCTCACCAAGATGAGAAAATTAAAGTAGTCCAGTTCATTGTCTGCCTAGGGAACTTTCCATCCAAAGGAATTATCTTTAATCTCCTCAGGGAAAGATGAAATCTGCTCACAGAAAACCAAGAAGACATTTACAGCATAGTTGTGAGGCAGCCAGGAGTATATATCTCCACAACACCAAATGGAAAGAAACGTCAAAAAACTCTCATTTTTTGTAACTGAAGTATTTACTTCATAAACAAATTTAATTTCATTATAGACTATTTTTCATGACAGTCCCTTCATACTGAAAGGAAAAGTGGCACTAGCATAAATAAATAACAACACTGTTAGGATTTTCAATGTTAATACAAGACCACAGTGGAGCTTGAGGGTTTTTTTTTGTTTTTTTTTTTTTGGGGGGGAGGCAAATTCTATCATGGAATTCAGACCACAGCAAAGGCTAGTCTACTAAAATTGTCTCTTTGTACCCCTCTAAATCCAACTCAAGTGAAAAATTATGTTATGCTGATTTTAACATTTTAAAAAATATAAAAAACTAAGTGAAAATAAAACCTGATGTCTAAGAAATATAGGAAATATATGCTGTTATATTTTATCTTTTGAAAAGCATGCTAAATTAATCCTCATTACTGGTTGAATCCTGAGTAGCTATCAACACAGGTCGTATGCATTTGAGTTTATCATTTTAAGTAAACGATAAGTGGTATTAAATTATAAAATTACCATTTGACTTTATCATTACTATCATCATAAACCACTAATGGAAAAGGAACATGTGACATAAAATTTGGGCTTGAAGTTTTTTGACATTAGATTAAATCACAATCTCAACTACAAACGTGGCTGGAATGAAAATATAGCTTTAGCACAACTAGCATCAGAATTAAAATAGGAACAATCATGGTAAAGTTGGTGTTTAGAAAAATAAGAAACAAAAAAATGATAGCTAGAGACAGATTTTTTAAAAATAGAGACTGTGATATAGTCATTGTTGACCTCTGTAACTCTCTAGACCAGTGGTGTCAAATTAGATTTCTTTGAGGGCTGGGTCAGCATTGTAGTTCTTTGTGGGGGGGGGAGGCCGGGGAGTGAAAAAGGAGATGGGACAGATGCTTCCTGCATCACCCTGCTGGCCAAAATAGGGCACGCCCCATTTTCAGCCTCCCTGGCCCCCAGCAGCACTCTCCTGGCCAAAAATGCACTGTGTAGGGGCTCTTTATGCCTGGCAGAAGGCTGGGATGACTAAAAATGGGCCACAGGGGGGCTGCATGCACCCCCATCCTGCAGCCATTTTGGCTGGCAGCGGCACCACAGGCCGGTCCTTTGATACTTCCGGCCGGCCCAGCGGGCCAGATTTAAGCACCCTGGGGGTCTTGAATTTGATAACCCTGGCTTAGACAGTACCTGCACTTGCAAAGATTTCAAAAGCAGTTTGTCATTTTCTCCTTCCAAGGGCTGAGACATAGTGAATAGCCCAATCACATTGCTGGCTTTTTTTCTAAGGTGGAACTAAAACTGCAATTTCTTACCTGATGTCTACTTGTACGTAAGATTACCCGTGCTTGAAACAACAACAAAAAAGTCTATGTGAACATCTGATTAGTTTTTGATTTGTCAGTATTATCTGTGGATACAAACCATCATGCATCAATGAATAATGTTAGGTTTACATGAACATGATTGCTATTTAATAGGTGTCATGTTATTGGGTAGCTTGTATATGTGATTGAGCTATTAAAATGTTGGTATTACTGAGACTTTTGAGACTTCCATACCACATCCATACCACTTCAAATAAAATTGTTTTTCACTGCAGACTAATCACATTTTAAAATGTCAGTCACCAAGTATGCAATAGGTAGAAAAATTAAGAGGGTTAATTATGGTAACAATTTATATGAGAAGAGTACATCTTCCTTCCCCTATCATCATCACTTTCTATAGAAAGACTATTGAAAGCATCCTATCATATTGTGTTACTATGTGATTTGGAAGTCTTACTGTTTCAGACAGGAAGGCTGTGCAGAGAATGGTGAGAATAGCATAAAAGATTATTGGAAGTTCACTCCCTTTTGTCCAGGACATAGCTTGACCAGAGTGTATGGTATTATCAGGATCACTACACATCCTTTCCATGACTGGTTTTCTTTGTTACCGTCTCAGAAGAGGCTTCATGGTATCCAAAGCAAGACAAGTAGTTTCTGCAATAGCTTTGTACCTTATAGTATCAACCTTGTTAACACTCAAGACTCTTTTTTCTGCTTTGTATTCAAATGGACTATAATTGTTATACATGTGTGTCAGAGGTGGTATTCAGCAGGTTCTGACCAGCTCTGGAGAACCGGTAGTGGAAATTTTGAGTAGTTCAGAGAACCAGCAAATATCACCTCTAACTGGAGATTTTACAGTATCCTTCTCCTGCTACAATCAGCAAGCCACACTCACAGAACCAATAGTAAAACATTTTGAATCCCACCACTGATGTGTGTGTGTGTGTGTGTGTGTGTGTGTGTGTGTGTGTGTAGGCATCAGAAATTTAATTTTTAATGTGTGTCAATGTGTTCACAGAAAAAAATGACAATAAATGGCTTCCAGTGGTGCTTCCATTGATGATGGATTGGACACCGTGATTGTGCGTGGCTTCCTTGTTGGAGGGTACCAAACAGGACCGGATCCACTTCAGAGGGGTAGGGAAAGAGGGGGAGACTGCCAGCTGGGTCAAGGGGAGCTGAATCTCCCCTCCCTGGCTAGGCATACTCCCCTTGAAGACAGGAGTAAGTGGCAGTCTTTAATAGCTGCCCTGAAGACAGGAAGCCATTTGGGAAATAAGATCATGCTGGAGTGGAGAAGAAGCAGGCAGCATGGAGACCAGGAAAACTAGCTGACATATGGATACTAAAGTACCCTGGAATTAAGCTAAAAAGAAATTTTAAGAAAGAAAAATAGTAAAAGCGGCGACCAGAGAAAGTGGGGGGGGAAATTGACAGCTGAAAGTGGATTTAAACTTTGAAAGGAGCTAAATTCTAGGAGGAAGCCAGAAGAAGATACTTGTTTAAATTGGACAAATATATGATTTTGGCACTAAGTAGGCATAATTGAAAGCTAAACTTGAATGTGTCAAAAAAAAAAAAAAGAACAGTAATTGATAATTGGATTTATTGGATTTTTGAAATTTAAAAGCCCTAAACAGAGAAAAGAAACGGGGGGGGGGGGGGGGGGGGGGGAACTTGGACACAACAGAGAGTGTCACCTAATGGTAAAGGAAAAATTTTAGTGACTCTTTAAAAAATGCCTGGTTGTTTCAAAGTGGAATTTGATACAAAATAAGAGAAAATTCGTTACAATAAAATAGAAACCCTGGAAAGTGAAAAGTGAAAACATAGAATATCAAAATAAAAGAAAGAAGCGTGAAGAAATTACTCTGGGGCTGTTTGGTGATTTTGGCATAAACTTAAACTTATGGATATTGGAATGTTTGATGATCTTGGAAAAAACTTAAAGAAGATTTAATAGAAGTTCATCGTTGGAAAGAAACTTCGAAGACCCTGCTTGAATTAAATTACTGGACAATTGGTTTGGATTTAAAGATGAAAGAAAGGGGTAAAGAAAATATAAAAGAAGTGTTTAAAAATGGCAGAACTTTTTTTGGAACTAAAAATGGAATTAAGAAATATGAAAGAAATGTTACATGAAAAAGGTGAGTCATATTGTCTAGCTTTACAATCATTAGAAAAGGCAATTCTGGAGTATGAAGAACAACAAGGAGTGCCAGAAGGGGAGGAGCTAATTAAAGAAGGAGCCAGCTACAATGAACAATGAATATTAAAGCAAAAGAGAAAAAGAAAGGGAATTAAAACTTGGAGCACTTAGCACTTAGACTTTATATACTGCTTCACAGTGCTTTACAGCCCTCTCTAAGCAGTTTACAGAGTCAGCATATTGCCCCCAACAATTTGGGTCCTCATTTTTACCGCCTCAAAAGGATGGAAGGTTGAGTCAACCTTGAGCCTGGTGAGATTTGAACTGCCAAATTTCAGGCAGCTGGCAGGCAGCAGAAGTAGCTTACAGTACAGCACTCTAACCACTGTACCACCATGGTTCATGATTAAATGGTTAAATGTTATGTACCCAAATAGCTTCAAAGAGATTTTTGAAAACATATTGCAACCTATTGGCATATAATTTATGTATTTTATTCAGCCACACTTCTTAAAAACAGATTCTTAAAGCAGTCACTTAATATTAAAGGAAAACAACTGCAATTAGAACTTAGTCTTCAGAGAGGAACTTTGTCTTAATTCATCAGAAGCTCTGTATCAATTCCTTCTAAATTGTTTTTTGTGGCTTCAGTGTTACTCATAAATGGCAAAATTGACTACTCTGCTTAAAAACAGCAACATAAGTACTTTTATTTCCACGTGGAAACTGAATTTCATGTTTGATATGGAAAAGAATGAAACTTTGATTCTGGGTTTTACAGATTATACTGATAGACTTTTGTAGAAATGACTGATTCATACTATTATGGTAAAACAAAAAGTTGTGATTTGTTTTTAATGTCTTATTCTACTGTAACAGATAGAGTCAGAAGTCAATTCTTTTTCTTTCCCTACTCTTCATTACTTTCTTTGCCCTTTCCCTCTCCCTGTCCTCTTATTTACTTTTGTATTTTGTATTTTATAATACTTTATAACCCAATAAAATGTATTAAAAATGTTTTTGTGTTACAACATACCATAATTGCTATTCAGCCCTCAGCGAGATCTTGAACACACTCTGAATCAAAATCATCTATCAGATAGATAGATAGATAGATAGATATACAGACAGACAGACAGACAGACAATGCATTTACTTATTTATATTACATTATAAATAATGTCATTCCTCCAGTGACTTTATATGAACATAACTTTTTTCCCTTTAATTTCATTGTTTTCTTCTCATTTTTATTCAGGCACTTCTGTCATTCAAGTAACAGCAACTGATGCTGATGACTCTAACTATGGCAACAGTGCCAAAATTGTATATAGCATCCTCCATGGTCAGCCATATTTCTCTGTGGATCCAGACACAGGTTAGAATATCCATTGACTTGCTTTGTTCTGGTTGTCTGAGTTTTGCATTGTTCCAGTGATGTTCCAGAACTGACAGTTTTAAGGAGTTTCTTCAAATGTTTGCACCTTTTGTTTTCAATGATTTATTCAAATACTGTTGTACATTAAGTGTTGTACCTGATGATTCTTGAGTCTTGATGGATGTATCTTTTCTTTTATGTATACTGAAAGCATTTGCACCAAGACAAATTTCTTGTGTCCAATCACACTTGGCCAATAATTCTATTCTATTCTCCATGCTTGTTCAGCTGGAATGTTCACTGTTAATTTCAAGATGTGAGGTGGAATACTGTTGGGCAAAAATGTTAGTGTTTCTTCTTAACTTGGAGATGGAGGTAAGCAAACTGAAAAAAAAAATCCTGGTGTTTTTTTCTGGAACAATAGTTTGTCAACTTTGAGACTTCAACAAATGCCAGTCTGTTTAACTGGCTGTGGAAACCATCTCTTAGATAAGCCAAACTGAAAACTTTCCATGAACTGCAGGAGGGCAGCTGATTCATCAACCTGGTCCTCTGGTATAATTTGCAAATAGTTTACATGAGCATGATGAATGTGAAACTAAAGTTGCTGGCACATAACCCAATTCTGAGCCAGTTCACTTAAAAATGTAAAACTGCTTTATATAAAATGATGTGGCTTTTGGGTTTTTTTTTTGGGGGGGGGGGGGGGGGGGGGGGCAAAGTAAGAGAAGTTTCAGTAATAGCAAACATGTTAATATTGGCTTTAACATGGTGAATTTGTGCATTGCTCAGTCAGCATAAAAATAATGAAAAGGATAATATGGAGAAGGTGGATAAGCATATTGTCTCTTTCCTTATCGCCACAAGTCCCATGTTTTATTTTCACCCTGAGTATTAGCAATGATCTAGAAAGGAATTGTTCACATGCAACAAGGACAACATTACATTGATAAGTTGATAAATTGGATTGTGCCATTATGGTTATTGCCACATTTTCTCTCCTCTATAATACATTAGTACAATTCTCTTTTCTCATGTGATAATGTAATGTTCACATGCAGGATTGATTTAGAAAGTGCTTTTATATATTGAAATGATACATCTGCTACATATCTAGATCTAACTCCTCTGGGATTTTGGAGAAGATTGTAAATGCCTATATTAAAATTTGCTTTAAATCTCTCTGTCTGTCTGTCTGTCTGTCTCTCTCTCTTTCTCTCTCTCTCTCTCTCTCACACACACACACACATGCGCGTGCGCACACACATACACACGCACACAAGCATACCTTTTATTCTAACATATGTAGCCATTTTAGCTTTGCTAGAAAGATAATTACATCGATTTTAATGCCAGGCTAAAAATAATGTGAAACTCCCCCCCTCCTTTTTTCCCCCTCACTGTAACATTAAGCTGGACAAATCCACTTTAATACTTTTTTTCATATTTCCTTTTGCTTCTGTTCTCTATTTTTCCCCACAAGGTATAATCAAGACTGCTTTGCCAGATATGAGCCGAGAAAATCGAGAACAATATCAAGTGGTCATCCAAGCCAAGGATATGGGAGGCCAGATGGGTGGATTATCAGGAACCACCACAGTGAATATCACCCTGACTGATGTCAATGACAATCCACCTCGATTCCCTCAGAGTATGAAATATTTAATAATTCTGTTATCTTCAAAAAGTCACTATATTCTTTCACCATCTGTGACAGTAATGCAAGTGAATTGATAATGCAACTATTTAAAGTTGTACCAGAATTAATATCTGTGTATGTCAAAAAAAAAATATTCTTGCTTTAAACTAAAGCTTTCAAATTGGGGTACTTTATCATATGAGACTGAACAATTTCAAATGCTAAAAACACAATAATCTTTTTTTACTTGGAACACGTTCTACTTGTCAGTGTAATGAGTGCTGTAAACACTTGGCTATGTGTGATTTGAGATTTTCTCTATTAATTGACCTGAAATCGAAGGGGAATGTTCCTATTTTCGTAGGTATCAAAAACTTTTTATGCAACTGTGCTTGATGTTTTAAATGTCTTGTGAATTAATCAGACAGAATGGATGTTAGAAGGGATGATGTTAGAAAATTGTCTCCATTTTCCAGACGAGTTAGGGGTAACAGTGCATCTGAACCTGCCACTCATAAAAACTAGAAAATTTATCCAGCATGGTCAAGGAACAACCAACACAACTAACCTTGCCAAGAATTATCATTTTTTTCCAAGTTCATCATCCATTCTTATCACAGACTCAATGAATATAAAACCATGTGCTAAATAAGCAAAACTAAATGCAGGCAATCAACGAATCATATTTTCATATAGAAAACAGTACAGTCATGAATGAATGGGACAATAGTGTGTTTCCCTTTGCTGTTTGGTGCATCAAATTAACTGGTAGGAATAACTATGAATGATATAACCTATTACTGATATTCCACAGGTTTTCATAATCATAGACTACAGGTAGCCCTCAACTTATGACCTAAAGCGAACCCAGAATTATGGTTCTAAGTCATGGCAGTTGTTAAGTCAGGTGCCTACATTTAGATTTCCACATTGAGGTCATTACTTGGAGTGCAGGTTGTCACAGGGAGGGGAAGGCCCCAGGAGTCCCTGGCACAGGCCCATTCTGCAGCACTTCCCCAGCTCATCCATGGCTAACAGAGTCTTCCCCATCCCCTAAAATACCTTCACATTGTATCCCACACACTTGGGCCTCTCCCCTCATCATGTCTCACTCTATCGATCTTTACTGAATATCCTCTTTCCAAAGGGGAAGCAACCAATGCACTGCTCAGCCTTCCTCTACAGATGTCATGTGGTAGCATCCCAGAAGCAGGCATGATTTTGGAAGCAGGCACAGTTCTTGCAATCTGAGAATTGTGGTCACTCCCAAAAATGGTGCCTATTCCAGGATAGCATGAAATACTTATGTAGGACGGTCACACGGCAGATTGGCTGATTGTCTTTCAGAAAAAGAAGCAGGTGTTCCATTATCAATTGAGGAAAGATGAGCTAGAAGAACATTTATTGGTTCACTATATTTGCAATGTTGCTGGAGAATAAAACCACTAACTTGGAATTAAATGAGAGCTGGGTCAATCCAATGGGGTGACTGAAGTTGGGATGGGATAACTCACCATGATCAACTCACTATAACCAACTCACCACAGGAAAAATCTGTTTGGGACAATTGAACAGAAAAGTTAAATTAATTTTGATGGAACTGTGTCCAATAATAATAAAATAAAGTCAATCCAGAAATATAAGAGTTACAATAATTTTGATGAAAATTATAAAGGTATCTGAATGAAAGATACTTTGTAAAGAGGCAACTGGATTTGTTTTTCTTTGAAGACATTTCAATTCCCATTCTTCAGCTCTGACTGGATGGTGGGGAATGGAAGGATTTATATTCCTTGCATACAGCTGGCCATTTGCACTCTTTTATAGAGTTATTGAGGCCACTTGGAGATTTATCTGTGTTCTCAGGGTCACCTGAGTAGTGCAAATGGGTGTGGAGCCTTCTTGGAACTGTTGAAAGGACTATGTTATGGACCTGTGCTTTCTGCAGGATGTTTCTGCCCTATGTTCCTTCACTGTTGAACACACGCAAAGGCTGTGGGGATGAGTCTGTGTTGTCTGCATCTCAAACTGAAGTGCAAATGGTCCTGTAGTCTGCACTTTTTCCTGGAAATCTGTGTTTTGGTACAACCATGACCCAGATGACTGAGAATCTCCATAGACATTCACATATGAACTTTGGGATGAACAACCTTTGAATGGTACAGGAATATGAATGGATTTCCAGAAGAAAAAAATGCAGAATACAGGACCATTTGTGCTTCAGTTGAGATGCAGACCACATAGACTCATCCCCACTGCCTGTACCTGTGTTCGACAGTGAAGGGACACAGTATTTCTCCACCCAATGTAATCTATTTTTCTAGATAACTGATCAAGTGCTATGAATTCCTATATTGATTCATTATTATTTTCCATCTAATTTTCCTCTTTAAAAAAACCAATTTAAGTGTTGGTTTTCTATATGTTTACAGGGTTTCCATAGGAAATATTGTTGGGAAATACTTTTTTGTAGTTATTTTTTACAATCATGATTTTAATAATAATATGCATCTTCTTTAGTTCCAAGATACCATAGCATTGCAAAGCATAAGAAGTTACATTGCTTCATGTATAAGGTTCCTATAAACAAGGTCAAATTACTGCAGTTGAGCTATGAGTCAGGCTGCATAGCAATGTGATTCCAAAATGCCACATATTGTAGAACATTCTGTCCACTAACTCTAGTCTGAGTTCATTTTTTATAACACTTGTGTAATATGAGTATTGATTTTCATTCATCATTTGGGTAAGAGGTCTACTTAAGATGCAGGGATGTGATAGAGTAATCAAGCAAGCAAGCTGTGGAACTCAGAGCAAGGTGTATGTATGTATGCTACTTGGTGGCAATATCATAATGAGAATGAAAGCATCATAATGGAAGAGGAAGTGTTTGGTAATGATTTTTCAGCCCTTATTATTTCCTACAGAATGTATGTGGACAAAGATATATAGTAAACCTTCAAAATGATATATTTTAATTACCATCTGCTCTAATGTATTTGCAGTTCATCAACAAATAAATAAAAACAATTGTATTGTAATATTAGCATAATATTAAGAAATATTGAATCCCGTGACTTAGGGCAACCATATCTGGGCTGCAAATAGTCAAGAGAACTACTAGATAGGAGCAAAGAGGAACAGAAAATCATTACTGTCTTTTTATGACTATCTGGACTTTTGCAGCCCAGATAAACTTGCCTTAACTAAATTTTCATGCATTAAATGGCATGAGGTATTCCTGAAGACAACTAAGGCCAATAATTCTCAAGATTCCATATCCAACATCAAATCAATCTATCAAACAGAATTCTGGGACTTTCAAAGATAGAAACAATATTTGGGATTTTTTTGGTTTTGTTTTTTGAAGAAGAACATAACTTAATTTGACACAATCATGAGTCAGATAACTATAATGAAGTTGAATTCACTCCTTGTTTTTCAATACCATGCCCAATTATCACCTCTGCCCTAGATGAAAAATAATGGGTTGTGAGAGAATAAGTTGGAGGATAAAAAGAGTGGTGGGTGAGGAATTAAACATTAGCATGTACAAAACATCCACAACTATATTTGAATCATTAATCAGATTCATTCAATTCATCAAATCAATCTTGATTCAATAATCTCTCTTTATCTCTCTCCCCTCCCTCTCCATCTCCATCTCCCTCTCCCTTTCCCCCTGTCTCTAATGTGTATATGCATATGATCAAAAATATACCAATTTTCTGAATCAAAAATTCTGAATCAAATAGAGCAGAAAAAATGGTTTGTCATAATTCTTTTTATATATTCCACCTAGGTGGGGGTAAAAATTCCTGAAAGCATATTATGTCATTTCACATTAACTGTGAGTCTCAGGTTGCCAAAGTTAGTTACATTCCAAATTTTTTCTGTTTATGCAAAAACAACATAATGTGGTTTTGCATTTTGATCCGATAATTAAAGTGTTGTCCTTGCCACTTAAAATATATCCTTGCTTATTAAATGATTACTGTATCAATATACCTGTGACTGTCTAAGCAATGTGGGAACACAATTAATAAATGCATCCTGATTTGGCAAGTCTTTTTCTCTCTTTTTTCACATCTTACCTGCCTAGTTATGATCCTGGATTGTCTGGGCTCCCTGCCTCAGTTTGGATTGGAGCCATTCTGAAAATGCTTCTATTCATTCTATTTGTCCAGGTGTGACATTTCAAAATTGGATAGATACACATACTTCTCCCAAAACTAAATTTTCTACCAACAGAGACATGGCCAGTGATTATTTTAGATTTTAGACATTGGTTTGGAATCACTTCGGAGTTGCTGACCTTGAAATAACAGTCAGAATATTAGTGACAGACATCAGATGGACAGCAATTATAGAATTTATTTTCCACACAATGGGAAAATATGTTATCTGGAGAGGATTATCATACAGTTCCTGGTATATACAATATATCCAGACTCTTCCCATATACTCTTTTGCTAGTTAGTTTCAGTATTACTCAACAAGTTCAACTTAAAATAAAATAGATATAAAAGGGAATCAGCAAAAAAGTTCAGTTCAACAATATGAATATCTCCTTACCTTTTTCTCTTAAAACATTTTTGTTCAGTCTGTCCCAGGGAACAAACACCCAAATAGAATAAACATGCTAAATTATAGTTAGCAAACTACAGTGGTTGCTAAATTAAATCAAATCACCCAGAGCTTAAAGACCATGATTTCTTGTTTATTGTATTATGACAGCTTATATGAATGTGTAAGTAACAGAAAATGGCTGGGATTACCCAGCAATACTATCACAGTATACTTAATGATGATTTATTGAATAAAGTTAATTGGATGGAATTGCACCACATGCTAAATCATAAACCACAATATAGAAACCACAATGTCTAGCTCTATCCAAAATACTAAGCCAAACCAATTACCTTGGTCAGGATAGAAATTAAATGGGCTTTCATTTTGATATTCTGGTAGATGTGACATGATGCCATGATACAAATGATGTGAATTTGCAATCTTTAGTGAAGTGACATAGCTACAGATATAATAGTTCCCCCTCCCATTCCCCTATGAAGTAACTGGTTGGTAAATTTCTTCATGCAAATACCTTTGGCATCTACCAGCTGCAAAAAAAGTGAATGGAAATTGGCAAAATTGTAGTGAACAACAGAGGCAATGTATATATGTGGTTATTTGGAAAATGGCTATTTGCTTCTGTAACAGAAAAATGCTGACAACAGACTTTGTTTCCTAGTGCATTTCTGATATACTGAAAACAGGTAATTGGTATCTTGTATGCTAATTTAATCTTCAAAAGCAGTATTTCTCAACCATGTCAACTTTAATGTCTAGACTTCAGTTCCCAGAATTCCTCAGCCAGCACGTCAACATCTTAAAGTTGCCAAGGTTGAGAAATACTGCCCTAAAGAGTCCTTTTCCCATATATCTCTATTTTTATTATATTATAATCTACCTAAAGTCACCCAAAACAATGAAATGAGTGGTATACAAATTTATTTATTAAATAAGTGCATACTATCTTGTTCAAAGCTGTTATACAATATTCATGATATTTAGAATAAATTGTTCATTTTATTTTGGGGAGAGGGGAAAAAGAAAAAAAAATCCTTTGGTGTATCAACATTTCATCAGATTTTCTTTAAGACAGCACATGCATTTGTCAACATTGATTGAAGGCTGTTTAAGTTTTATCTCTTGCCCACTGAAATTCAAACTCAAAAACCTAATGGTGATTACAATAGTTTAAACTGTCATTCATTCACTATGCAAGCACAAGTTGAATTAAATTTGTGATGTAAATATATGTATAAAAATACTGATTGAGGATTCCTATTTATGTTTTAACATTCATTAAATTATTCTGCTGTACCTGATCAGATATCTGGCAGTAATTCAGTAATTTAGGACAGCTTACACTCAGTATGACTTATTTCTAGGTTAGACAGAATGTGGGGCAAACTAAAATGATAGAATTCAAACTTACTGCAGTTTTGGCTGCATGTGGGTGATGGGAATCTTACTTTAAGAAAACAATTTCAATTTACACATTCATTTACAATTTGGAATGTCATTACAAAATTAATTGGTCAAGCCTGTACACCATCTGTTAGACTTTAGGATATGGAAGAAAATATGTGTTAGTGTTTCTATAGATTGTGTGGGAGGAAAGATTTAAAATAATGGAATAATAATAACAACAACAACAGTAATAATAATAATAATAATAATAATAATAATAATAATAATAATAATCTGTAATGTAATTAAAGTCTGCAAAGTCTCTAATTTTTTAAGTTTTTAATTTTTTAATGCGTAGAATGAGTCCCTGACATTGCATCAGTGTAAATTGTTCCATAAAAGAACGGAGAGTCTTTGGTGACATTTAAATGTCTTTCCTATGTTTTAAAGACAAACACCAAAGACAACTTTAAGTCTCAAGTACTTGTGCAATAAATTCCTCATGGATCTGCCCTTTATGGCATTTCAACAGCTTCTTAATCAGAAAAGGACACAGTGATTTACTTTGAACACAATATCTGAAATTGTCGAAAACAGAAATAGGCAAGCTGCTACCATCCAAGAATTTAAACTTCCATCAGCTCTTGCTACCATAGTCAATTATGGTATAAAACAAGCTTTATTGCCTCTTGTGGTCTTATGTCCAAGCAATACATACTTTTTTTTTCCGAAGCTTTAGAAGGAGCCCCAGTGTCTCTCTAACAAAATTTCTTAAATGAACAGGATAAAATAATCAAGATATAGAAAGTCAGACCTTTGATCCAATGACTTGAGAATGGTTTACACTAATTCTCAAAGGTTTTAGAGAGAATCTTCCAAAATCCTGCTTAGAAATGCCGGAGCCATGTTGGATACAGCAGAATCCTTTATCATTGAGTTATATAATAAAAAACAGAATTATTTTTCTTCTGTGACAACAAATGCAGAGTTTACGATTTGTATTGTGGCTCAAAGTCTCCAGGTTGCTCATAAAAAAGACCAAGGAGAGACACTGATACAGGTAGTCCTTGACTTATAACCACAATTCAGCCTAAAATTGTGATGGTAAGTTGTTGTGATTGAAGATTGAGTCACATGTGACCGGATTCAATTTTACAGCTATTTTTACAGTGGTTATTAAATAAGTCACTGCTGTGGTTAAGCAAAGCATGTGAATGTAAAATGAATCATGTGGTCATAAATCTAAATCCAGCTTATCCAGTGGGTGTTTTTTGGTGGATAATACATTCACATGACCATGGGATGCTGCAACCAGTTGTAAATATGAGCTGGTGGCCAAGCACCCAAAATGTGATCATATAAGCTTGTGGGTGATACAGGAGTCATAATTTGAGGATGGGTTGTAAGTAACTTTGTCTTAACTCTCTTATAATTTCAAACATTTGTTAAGTAACCAGTCATAAATGAAGGACTATCTGTAATGAATTTCCATGCAAGAACTAGAGTCCTTTATTCCAACATTGCAAGCAAGCAATCAGTTTCTAAAAGAGTCTAGATTCTATGTTGGGATCTTGAAAATCTTCCTTCAAATGAGCCTATTCATTTAAGAAGTAGCTATTATCTATTCACTACCCTTTCTGTGGTTACATTTGGCAAAGCATCCCCGTAAATCTGTGCAACACACTAAAATAAATAACTTTATTTATAAATAGCTTTCGTTAGTCTCTTATTTTTTTTAACATCACCTTTCAACCCAGAAGTATCCTCAAGATACTTTCCTTATTACACTATTATGCTATATTACAGTACACAGTAATTAACTATCAAGTTAAAATGTGCAGTTAAAATTATTCCATTCTTGTGTGTACTTAATATTATCTATTGAAAATAAACAAGAGCTCCCAATAGCCAATATCAGCAAGTAAGCCAATCTTTTAACTGAATTAAGAAATATATAATTATTCCCCACCACCACAAAAAAAAGCTTCCTAAAGCAAGAGGAGGGAGTTACTCTACTCTAGAGTTTCACAGAAAGATAATTAATTTGGGAGGGCTTGGAGCTTGAGTCTTTTCATGGTTAATCCATACTAGTGCATAATATAAAAAGTGGTTTACAATTGCTACCTTCTTCCATATTTTTAGCCTCCTTGTCTTGCTACAGTCCTAGTATATCTTGATGGTATTTCATCAAAGCAATAGCCAGATTTTATCCCACTTGGTTTTTCAAGAACCTCCAGTTCACCTAGATGCCACCAACATTTCTTTCAGACGTTCAGCGTGACAGTCCAGCTTGCTCTTTAAATGTTAAATGTCTACAATAGAATCATTTGCTTGTTTATTTGTTTATTATTTAATTGCGATAACAAGTGGTTGTGGACTGGCAGGGTCCAGCATACGAGTGAGTTCAATATTACTTTTACCCTCAAAATGTCCTCCCTCCAAATTTGACAGTCTTATTAAAATTCTTTGAAACTTGCTCTGAAAATTATAACAGATGTTGTTCTCCAACAACCCTCTGGAGTCATTTCAATTTTAGCTTCAGGCAAATTTTGGTGACATTATTATCCCAAGATTGACTACTTTGCAATCTGTTATAAACTAAAAAAAATAATACACACTGATTTTAGAAATTATATTTCAGTAGATACACCTGTATACTTTCCAGGGTAAGAATATGGACACTGAATTGGGCCATTAGTGCTACCAAGTATCTACTGTTTACACCTATAATCTAAAATTTATAGGTAACAGATCAAAAAAGACTGTACTCCATCACAATTGTATTTTCTTTTATAACTTTTATTTCACAAGTATTATCTCTGTGTTCAAATCTGCCGGGTTTTTTTTCTTCCTTGTATTCAACCAGAAGCTGAGGAACTTGTTTCTGTTGAATTTTTAAAATTATTTATATAGTTGAATACCTAGGTGCACATGTATATACACACACATACACACTTACACTTCTTTTTTTTTCCAGGCACATATCAGTTCATCTCTCTAGAGTCTGCACCACTTGGGACTTCGCTTGGCAGAATAAAAGCCAATGACCCCGATGTGGGTGAAAATGCTGCAATTGAGTACAGCATTGCTGCCGGCGATGGATCTGACATGTTTGATATCATCACTGACAAGGACACACAAGAAGGGATTTTAACAGTCAAAAAGGTTTATTTTCCTCTCTGTCTTTTATTGGACTTAGCACTTCAAGTTTTAGATTTCCTTTTCCAGCTAGAGGATGGATCAGTTTTTATGAGAGGTCAACTGCAGAGAAACTAGCAGGTGTTAGCTTCAAAACTTCCTCATTCCTTCTTTCCTTCCTTCCTTCCCTCCCTCCTTCCTTCCTTCCTTTAATCTGTTCTCACTTGTCAGGTGCATTGAAATTCGTGGACATGTAATTTTAGAAGTATTAATATGAAAGTTCTATTGAACGTGTAAAAGAGGTTAAGGTAATTTTGCAAGGAGTATATGACAATTTTCTGTAGCCAACTCACCACAGCCAACTGACCATGGGACAACTTACTGTGGGACAAGAATTACACTAATATCAAAGAAATAATGAAATAGAATGATTCAAGAAAGGATGCAGAAGGAGGGAGAAAATGAAATGTACAGGTGAAACTCAAAAAATTAGAATATCATGCAAAAGTTCATTTATTTCAGTAATGCAACTTAGAAGGTGAACCTGATATATGAGACAGACTCATTACATGAAAAGCAAGATAGTGCAAGCTGTGATTTGTCATAATTGTGATGATTGTGGCTTATAGCTCATGAAAACCCCAAATCCACAATCTCAAAAAATTAGAATATTGTGAAAAGGTTCAATATTCTAGGCTCAGTGTCCCACTCTATTCAGCTAATTAAGCCATAACACCTGCAAAGGGTTCCTGAGCCTTTAAATGGTCTCTCAGTCTGGTTCAGTAGGAATCACAATCATGGGAAAGACTGCTGACCTGACAGTTGTACAGAAAACCATCATTGACACCCTCCATAAGGAGGGAAAGTCTCAAAAGGTAATTGCAAAAGAAGTTGGATGTTCCCAAAGTGCTGTATCAAAGCACATTAATAGAAAGTTATGTAGAAAGGAAAAGTGTGGAAGAAAAAGGTGTACAAGCAGCAGGGATGACCGCAGCCTGGAGAGGATTGTCAGGAAAAGGCTATTCAAAAGTGTTGGGGACTTTCACAAGGAATGGACTGAGGCTGGAATCAATGCATGAAGAGCCACCACACAGAGACGGATCCTGGACATGGGCTTCAAATGTCGTATTCCTCTTGTCAAGCTGCTCCTGAACAACAAAAAATGTCAGAAGCGTCTTACCTGGGCTAAAGAAAAACAGACCTGGTCTGTTGCTCAGTGGTTCAAAGTCCTCTTTTCTGATGAGAGCAACTTTTGCATCTCAGTTGGAAACCAAGGACCCAGTGTCTGGAGGAAGAATGGAGAGGCACACGTTGCAAGATGCTTGAAGTCCAGTGTGAAGTTTCCACAGTCTGTGTTGATTTGGGGAGCCATGTCATCTGCTGGTGTTGGTCCACTGTGCTTCATTAAGTCCAGGGTCAATGCAGCCATCTACCAGGAGATTTTGGAGCATTTCATGCTTCCTTCCACAGACGAGATTTATGGGGATGCTGACTTCATTTTCCAGCTGCCCACACTGCCCAAAGCACCAAAACCTGGTTCAATGACCATGGGATTACTATGCTTGATTGGCCAACAAACTCACCTGACCTGAACCCCATAGACAATCTATGGGGCATTGCCAAAAGAAAGATGGGAGACATGAGACCGAACAATGCAAAAGAGCTGAAGGCTTCTATTGAAGCATCCTGGTCTTCCATAACACCTCAGCAGTGCCACAGGCTGATAGCTTCCATGCCATGCCGCATTGAGGCAGTAATTGCTGCAAAAGTGGCCCAAACCAAGTACTGAGTACATAAGCATGCTTATACTTTTCAGAGGTCCGATTTTGTTCTATGTACAATCCTTGTTTTATTGATTGCATGTAATAGTCTAATCTTCTGAGATTGTGGATTTGGGGTTTTCATGAGCTGTAAGCCATAATCATCATAATTATGACAAATCACAGCTTGAATTATCTTGCTTTGCATGTAATAAGTCTATCTCATATATTAGTTTCACCTTTCAAGTTGCATTACTGAAATAAATGAACTTTTGCATGATATTCTAATTTTTCAAGTTTCACCTGTAAATGACAAAAATTAAAATATTTTTATTTTAAATAATTAAATTGAGTTGTTAAATTGTCCTGAGGCGAGTTGTCCCATGGCAAGGTGACTATGATGAGTTGATCATGGCAAGTTGGCTATAGTGAGTTGGCTGTAGTGAATTGATCCATTGCACTTTCCAAGCTGGCTGACTAGCTGAAGTCTACTATTTGGTATACTACCAAAGGCTGGAAATAGCCAAATGTTTATGTAGTATCCTGAAAATAGATGCAAAGGAAGTCCAGTTTCTAAGATGTATTTTCCTCCCCACCCATAGCAGTTATTTCATTGAGTTCTGTAAAGATAATCAAATGAAACGAGTTCTATAAAGATAAACAAATAAAAAAATGAAATGATTCTTGTCAGGAGTACTTGGGTCCTGAAGATGAAATGATTCTTGTCAGCAGTACTTGGGTTTGTTTGTTT